CTTTTGTTAATTGCACAATGGCCCCTCTAAAAAGTGAAAACTGCACTAATACCTCAAAATGAAAATATCTTCCAAAAATATTTTCTTAAAAACCCCTGAAATAAAATATCTTCAAAAGATATTTACGAAAAATATCACAAGAAAAGAAAAAGATTCTGAAGAACTGTGTATCCATGCCCCTATGGACACCGGGAGCAACCAGAGTACTTTCTTACAAAAGTAAAGATACGTATTTCGTGGAAACCACCTTGAATGAAGACACGTGAAGTCAAAAACCAACTCCGAGCACGAAAGGTGAGGTTTTACCAACAAAGTGACAAATGGGGAAGACAGAATAAGGAAAAGGACGAAATAGGAAAAGGACAAAAAGTGAATAGTGTCCGAAAAGTAAAAATGTAGAAATGACTCGGTTCTCAAAGGAAGTTGTCAATCCAAACGAAAGAGTCTCAGAAACCATTTCCGAACACTTGAGATGACAATATGAGATGAGAAACTGAACTCATAAAAGAAAATTAAACGGAAAAAATTTATCCGTAAAATTTCAGAAAAAGGAAAGGGAGGAAAATAACCGGGTCATTACATTAGGATTGTAAGAGATGGGTAACTGGGTAAGCCACTAAAATAAGTTATTAATATTATATATATATATATATATATATATGCTTAGCAGGGTGGGGCGGGGCCCCTAGGATATGTATATTGAACCCTTATCAGCCCCGTGACCCGCGACGGGTACAAAATTTGTATCCATGCCCGCCCCAACGGTATAAAAGTGCTCCCATATTCGTTATTAATGGGGCGGGCGGGGTAGGGCCCCGGCGGGGCGGTAAAAATTGGCATCCCTATCAACGTGTGGACATTACACGTCGATTGATTTGGGACATTCGGTCGACGTGTGAGTAATTCATGTCAACTGATAAAGTCATTTATAGTAAAATTACTCACTGCCCAAATTTGTGAGATATCAGTTAACGTGTGGGAAGCTACACGTTGATTAAAACTCCCCAAACCTGTATTTATTTGTTTATTTTATTACTCAACCACATGCAATCAACCACCCAAAACACAACCACTAAACCACCATTAATATACCACTAAAATGCTACTGAAACACTATATATATATATATATATATACCCCAAACATTCCGCTCAACAAAGCAACGTTAACATGATACGATTGTGGTTTACATACCCAAAATAGAATTATTACATTTACCGTACCAAAGAGTATTATTACAATATTAATACAACACTTTGTTAAAATTACAATATAAGGATACATTACCATTGTTACCAATTACATATCCTAAAATAATAAAAATTACATTGCCATTAGAATGAATACAATTACAACATGATTGAACTTAAAACACTACAAATAATTAATGAGGACTATAAAGACATCAAATATCACTTCCTAAATGGTCTACAATGGTGAAGATGAATCGTCCACTCCGTCTCTTCCGAGTCCTGAAATGTTTAAGATAAATAGGTGAGCACTATCGATTGAACCTAAAACACTACAAATAATTAATGAGGACTATAAAGACATCAAATATCACTTCCTAAATGGTCTACAATGGTGAAGATGAATCATCCACTCCGTCTCTTCCGAGTCCTGAAATGTTTAAGATAAATAGGTGAGCACTATCGCTCAGTAGAGATGCCTAAATGGTGTTTTATCAAGTCAAGTAAGCATGACATATAACATGTAATTAGAACATAGTAAGATGAAATGGGGTCATACAAGGGGTTTTATTCACTATCAACCTTCAAGCACACATAAAGTATGTTTCAATGCCAAATGAATGCCATTCACCATGCTTACACACCACACCCACACAATCGACTACAACACACCCACACCAAAGATGTACTAGTTAACCGAACTTCGGGTACCTCCTTCCATCCTTATGGTTAATTAGTAGTGCCGATAATGGGGTATCCCTACAACAACGGTTTGAGAAAATCTTTATTCCACAAACTTCACCAAGTCAATTTCCCCAACATCCTCCACAAACACACATACCACTCTTCCCACCCACATCATGATATGAACAATGTTATGAAAATGAAGTCTAACATGATTTCCATCATCACCGCACAATTATAATTAGAATAATAAACATACTTTTGTAACAATTTAATCAAGAAACCCACATTAGCAACCAAGCCACAAAACATTGCATTTCAATACAAATGATAGTTTCATATAAGCAATTCATCATGTAATTATTATGGTAGACATAGTTTAGCTCACAATTCAGAATTATCCATTTCAAATTAGTCACTTACAACATGGAACCAACAACATAACACATATAGTTTTTCTCAAATTAATGATTATATCCACAAAACCATCATGCTAAACAACACATAAGTAGCATCGACTTTAATTAAAGCAACAATTTAGCAAGTAATGATCATAGGAAAAACCCTAGAATCTAATTCATGTAAAATTAAGCATTATTTTAAGGGGAAAAACAAGAATCACTTACAAGGATATAGGATTACACAAGTTAGACAACCCTTACCTCAAGGGTGAAAAACCCTAGCTTGCTCCAAGGCTTAAAACTCCACCAAATTGAAAACTTTGACCATCAAAATGAAGAGGAGGATAAGGGGAACACCATTTCCTCTTGGAGCTACCCCAAAACCCACCAACTTGCCTTGGCCAAAATTTCAAGAATGCCTCAATTCCCTCCAAAATCACATCATTGTGTAGTTCAAGAGATGCTCTACTACTTCTCTAACTAGCCCTTACTCCAAATCCAAGCCCTAGGAATTTTGAAAATCTCGAGGTGGTCAAATCTCTAATTTCTCACCATGGTTATTGTCGCAGGGGTCACTTTCAACCCCGTAACAGTTGTGTAGAGGAGGAGAAGAAGAACAACTTTTCCTTTGGGCACACTTAAAATCAAAGGTTAGAGTCCTCAAAATGAAGCTTTCTAAAGCTTATACATGGTAGTCAATATATGTATAGATATATAGAGAGAAAATGAGGTGGGGAAGATAATGTATAGTGGGGAAAATGGCCTAATCATTCCTATTTATAAAACCCCCCCACAACTTCCACAAATTACATCACTTCACCCCAAAATTTCATAACTAATTACTCCCTTCCTCCAAACAACTTCCATGAAATTACCCAAAGGCAACACTCCACTAAAAATATAATAATTACACCCTCCAATAACCTTTCACTTAGGCCCTCACCATTCCAGTGCACTTAAGCCACCCTGGACCCATTCGGGATTCCCCCAGTCTAAAACTCAAAAACGACCGAAATAGATCAGAAAACATCTCCAGGAGTTCTAAACTCAAAGAAACGCCCGAAATGACTTTTGAAACCCACACAGCGTGCCAAAAGGTGCACGACACGTAAATCGAGGTGTCAAAAAAATACCGAAAAATCTGAAAATTTCCGGGACGTCACAATTCCATTTTATCATTTATTCCCACTTCTCCTTTTACGTTCTAGTGATTTAAATGGAAATTTGAATGTCATCTTTTTTTTTTTTTAAAGCAATAAGCTTTTGCTCATGTTTGTGCAACCTTTATTTTTTTCTTTTATTTTCTTTCTTTTTTCTTATGGACTCTTCCTAAATAGTTTAGGTTGCATTTGGATTTCTTAACAAATGGAATTATACTTTGTTTCTGTATCATTTAAAATTATATTTTTTAACCTTGGCAAGAAACATACTTACATACCCATTTTGTCCTTACGAAAACTTGAACCCTCGACCTTTTACTTTAAATTAACTTTAACATAAAAAAAAAAACAAAAAACAAAAAAACAAAAAATCTTAAGGTGGTGTACTACCGTTTGATAAAATTGAAAATTAAGTATTGCAAATTTCAAGAGCTGAATTTTAAGTGCTGAAGTTTTTAAGTGGTAATTAAAAAATAACTATTCTTTGATACTTTTTTTGAATTGTTTGGATACATAGGAGAGAGAAGAAAATAAAAGATAGGATAACAATAATCTCTATTTATGTATGGAGAGATAGAAGAGAAAATAAAAGAAATGATAGTATTCTTATTTGGATATGATAGAGGGAAAAAAAGAAGAGTGAAAACAACCAAATTACTATCATATCTTTTTCAATAAAAGGATATGAGTGAAATAATAATTTTCTTTTTTTAATTGTTAAAGGCACGTTTGAAATTATGAAAATACTACTTAAACACAATCCTTTCACCCATATCTTTTCATTTTTTGAGAGATACCTTATCATTTCTTTTCTGATTTTAAACCACCCAAACACTTAAGCCCTATTATTTTTTTTTTCTTTTCTTTCCCTGTCCCCCCAAATCATCCCATCCAAACGCAATTCATTTAGTGATAAGTGATGTCCATTTACGTAAAATTTTATGCCATTTTAACTTGCTTAAGTAACACTTATTCATATTACGTTAGTTAACACACTAACTAATTAAGTATTGAATTAAGTATTGAATTGAGTTTTCAAACAACACCTAACTATTACAAAGTTACAAACAATGATCTAAAAACGTTATTCCTATTAAGACTTTTTGATTTGTATGCATGTTAATTTTATATAAGTATATATGTCTATATAAAATATTCGTGTTTTTATATCATTCAATGCATGCATATAATTATATATATACTGTATATACATATATATTTATATTATTTAATTATTTTTATTTAATTTCAAATCAATAATTTATTTTAATAAAAAAATTAGAATTGAAATTCAATTAAACTTGAGTTATAAAGTTTTTTCAAATTAGATTTGAAATTGAATTAGTGAGATTGCAATTCTATCAAATTTTAATTCCAATTCCAATTGACGTCATAGACTATTTCATATTTTAATTGCAGTGAAACACCATACAAAAAATTCGGGTCGGGTAATATTTGATCCATTACATGACCCATCAAATGTCTAGGCTACAATATAACGTGGCACAAATTAATTGGAAACCGAAACGGATCGCAGTGTCTAAATTACCCAAATCAGCTCAACCCGCTAACAAAAATCCTCATAAACAGAAAAATGGAAGAACTGAAGAAACACAAGGAGAGAAGAGATCAGAAGAGACTTGCACACTCTTCGTAACCTTTTTTTTCTTCACGATCTGCGCTCTCTCATCACAAACACTTCTCAATTCACAATTCATCACAACCCGAAACCCTAGAAACCCCTCATTCCTCACTCCACAGATCTCCAATTTCTCTCTCTACACACATTTATATCTATATCTGTGATTCTGTATATCTGTCTTTTGGGATTTGACTATGGCGTGCATAAAAGGGGTGAACAGATCGGCGTCGGTGGCGTTTGCGCCGGACGCACAGTATCTGGCGGCGGGGACGATGGCCGGGGCGGTGGATCTGTCGTTCAGTTCGTCAGCAAATCTTGAAATATTTAAGCTCGATTTCCAGTCTGATGATCGGGAGCTTCCACTGGTTGGTGCGTCGCCGAGTTCGGAGCGATTCAATCGGTTGTCTTGGGGTAGGAGTCCGTCGGGCTCTGATGAATTCTCTCTCGGTCTCATCGCCGGCGGACTAGTTGACGGCAACATTGGTCTTTGGAATCCTCTTCATCTGATTAAGTACTGATGCTTTTTTCTTATTTTGTTTTGATCTGGATTCTTTGGGGTTAAGTGTACCGTGAATTGAATCAATTGATTTGATGGTTTATTGTGAATTAGATTGAGGATTCGTAGTTTGTTTGATTGGAACATGCAAAATCTAGCGTTTCATGAATTTGAAATGAGTTAATTTTATCAGCTGCCTAGACTGAGAATGGTGCATATTGGCATACGTCAAATTCTGTGTGTTCTTGTTTACTGTCAACTTTTAGGTCTATGTTTTGAATTCTGCTTTTGGCATACTGGGAGGTGTAAGCTTTGACATTTGTGGGTTGGTATTTAACTTGGTGTAAGAAAAAAATGCTTTATGATGTTATCTCTTTGGTCAATACTCAATAGGGTGCTGTAGGGATAGTGGAATTATGGTTAACGAGTTTATTATTTCATTTACCATATTAAGTTGATCATCCAACTTTTCCCAACAGGAAATTATCTTTGTTTTTTGGTCTATTCTTGTAAGTCTGATTTTGCTATAGGTAGATGTATCCGCATTCTATTGAAATCAATCATTTCTGTTGTGCTAATGTGTTACATTTTCTGTGTTTCAATGTCTCTTGTCTAGTTATTTTTTAGACAAGCAAGCTTTTGCATTGTGTTTTGAGCATTACTTGAATGTTTTAAGTCTCAGGGTTAATATACATTTTGCTGGGTTGTGGATAATTATATTCCGAATGAATTCTGTTACACCTCTATGGTCTGGTTTATGCATTATAGAGAGAATAATGTATAATTTTTGTCACTCCCATGAACCTCTGATTTATTTATTTTGATTTATTTCCTTCAGTCCTGAGGCAACTGAAACTGCTCTTGTTGGACATCTTTCGAGGCATAAAGGGCCTGTAAGTTTCTCTATTTTGTATTTGGTAGCTTGTTTCCATGATGGTTCTTCATTCCTCGGGCATTTGAATGATAGCATGTTGTGGTTGCTCCTGCATCATTTCTCTTTCAGGTTCGTGGTCTGGAATTTAACTCTGTTTCACCAAACCATCTTGCTTCTGGCGCTGATGAAGGCGAAATTTGTATATGGGATGTGGTCAAACCAGCTGAACCTACTCATTTTCCTCCTCTAAAGGTATATAGCTATGTTTTCCTGATGTTCGGTGCACATGAAGGCACTCTCTTCATTTTGAAAATGCTTAAAATCAACACATAGGAAAACAAAGTATGTTCGATTACTAGTATTTGTTGTGATGCGAGCTCTATTCTTTATTAAGAAAGAGAAGATTGATTATAGTTTCTTCCCTTTTCTTTTCACAAAACACTTTATATTTTAGGTTTCTCTTTCCTAAATTTTTTATTTTCATTTACACTGGAGGTTATAAGAATTGAGGGCATAATTTGAAAGATATTGGCCAGAGTCAAAACCCATGGCCACACAATCTTTCTGTTTTTCTCTCTCCAGTTTGTCTACATGGAATACCAACTGATATACACATTTTAAGGGAAACAAGAAAAAAATGAGTGAGATGATAAGTTTTGGTTTGGAAGGTTAGTTGAATTAATATTTTGGTCAGGGTTATTTGGTGAATGCTAACTCTTAAGTTCAATGAATGGTTTGGAGGAAGTGGTATAAGGCTCCTCAGTACATTTAATGGTATTTTTTTGTTGTTTTCCTAGACAATTGTATGGGAATAAAATTTGACTTCTGATTGCTTGAATTATCAAAGTTTATATGGTTTTTAAGTGCTAATCGTCTAAAGGAGATGTGAAATGGTGGACTGTTGAGTGTTGACTATATCATTGCTTTGTTGCTTGGAGGTGATGTTATTTCCTTTGTCTCATTTTGGTTTTGATAATTTGCCATGTTCTTGGGCATATGTAATATATATATATATATATGTTTTTGACTTACTAAAATATGTATATATATATATATATATATATATACATATGTATGTATATTTGTATACATTTGGCTGTTGATATGATGCTGTTTATTTTTTATTTTTTTTTAATGAGTAAATTTTCATTAAAGACGTTTGCAAAATCCACAATATGCCCACAAATTTACAGATTTGTTGATATGATGTTCTAAGTAAATCAATCTCTCAGTTTGGGATTAGCTTCCCCTCCCTCTTTATTTGGTGTGTTTTTTCATTTGGTTTATAACGTTTGAAGTTCTGAGAGGTTAGTGCTTTCGATTTCTAGAAAAATGATCTTGTATGCATGTTATAATCTAGAAAGCATGCATATAGACATGGGTGCAACACGATACGAAAACGGTGATACAACAAATGTCTAAAAAATACGACATGGATGCGGCAGAAATACATACCTCCTCTGTCCCAATTTAGTTGTTCATCTTTTTTTTTTTGGGTTGTTCTGAAATACTTGTCCACTTACCAAGTTTAAACAACATATTTCACATCTTTCCATAAAATTCCCTTAAAATTTTAAAAAAATTCAAACTTGATTATATATATATTTAAACTTGAAAGGGTAGCTTTGTAATTTTTAAAGAGGACAATGTAATAATTATATGTCCCCTTAAAAAGTTATACTCCCCAAAAGGGACATCTAATTTGGGACAGAGGGAGTAGAAAAATTATAGGGTAAATTACAGAGACATCCCCTGAGGTTAGGTCATTTTTCAGGTAGATGAAGATTTTGGTTTTAATTTTCACTTACATCCCAATTTACTTTTTGGTCTCAAACACATGCGGATTGACCTTTTTACCCTCAAAATTTTAATACAGAATAGTTTTGATCTTAAATGACATAAACACCCCTCTACAATTTTATTTCTGCGGTCTCTCTCACCCACCCCTTCAACCACCACCACAATCCTCACCCTCCATCGCCCCCACTCATCACTTCCTCCCCCACCCAACACCTCCATCATCACCACCCATCCACCGCCCCACCCATCACCACCGCCCCCACCCAACACCTCTATCACTACCAACCAACAGCTCCACCGCCCCCACCCAAAAATTATATAGATCTGTTCCTGCAAACAAACCCAATTAGCCAGATTTTCCATCCGGCTGCGGTCTCTCTCACCCGCCATCGCCCCCACCCATCACTGCTGCCCCCACCCAATTCCTCCATCACCACCACCCATCACCCAACACCTCCATCGTCCCACCCATCACCATCGCCCCCACCCAACACCTCTATCACTACCAACCAACACCTCTATCACTACCAACCAACACCTCCACCGCCCCCACCCAAAAATTGTATAGATCTGTTCCTGCAAACAAACCCAATTGGCCAGATTTTCCATCTGGCTGCGGTCTCTCTCACCCACCGTCGCCCCCACCCAACACCTCCACTGCCCCACCCATCACCACTGCCCCCACCCAACACCTTTATCACTACCAACCAACACCTCCACCGCCCACCCAAAAATTGTATAGATCTCCTCCTCCTACTGAGACCTCGCCTCGACAAAGACTGGGTTCATGGGCGATCGGTGTTGTAGTGTGAACTTCGGATTGAGCCGATTCTCCTAATGATGCCGCTTCCTAAACCTTGCCGCCGTTGCCGCTGTGAACCACCTTGGTGGAAGCTTCTTCCACTGTTGAGTTGGTGTCGCCGCCGTTCTGAGCTCGCTCGGCCACTGCCACCGCCACTGCGACATCCAATCCACAACCCAAAAATTGACATTTGGGGTCTAAGTGAAATGTTAAACCACTAATTCAAATATAAGTGAAAACTAAAACCAAATTGTTAATCTAGCTAAAAAAATGACCTAACCTCAGGGGGTCTGAGTGTAATTTACCTAAAATTATAATATAAAATATTATTATTATATATTTTTGCTCATTTTATCCATATTATCATGAATGAAATCACTAAATTGGAGCTTAGAGTTAGATGTTTGTTGATTTTATTTTCTAATATTTTATATTACTTTTCTAATTGACCATTAATATATTTGAAAATTGTATCAGAATCACATGATTCTAAGTGAATTTTTCCTCCTACATCAAGTTTGATAGAATCACATGATTCTAAGTAAAATAATTACTAACCTACCCTGCCATGTAGTGGAAGTATCCTAAATGTGTTCCTGACGTGTCCCAGTTCTGTCCAACCAGAAAAAAGAAACTTAAATTGCAGGACCCTTCTAGCTGTGTCGGACACAGGTCCGGGCTGGGTCTCACACGCGTGTTTGAGTGTTTGACATTGCCACAGCACCCGTAGGATAAGTGTCAGTGCTTCCTAGTTTATTATTTATCATCTTATATAGGCACTAGCAATGATTGTAGAGGATACCTTTCACCTTGTGTACTAGTTCTCTTTTCTTTTGGGGGGTGCCAGAGTGGGTGTGAGGCAACAAACTTTTATCTCTATGGTGGTTGCTGGGGTCTGGGGTGGGGCAGAAGTATTTCGGTGTTTTCACATTGTATAATGCTATAGTCCTTTAATGCAAGAGCATGTCTATTTTATCTTCTGAAAAGGGTTTCTATTTATAAGTTTGAGAAACTGGTATATATTAGATTTGTCTTAGTAACTCTTGGATACTTGTGTAAGTTGTGTGTGATTTGTGCAGATCAATATATTGAATCATTTTTCGATTCGAAACGTGAAAATGTCCCTAAGATGGTGTGGTGTGAATCTCAAGGCTTTGAGCTTTCAGGAGTTAATTTTTAGCAGTAATAGTGCTTTTAAAAGAATCCTAATTCAAAACTTGGGAACCATAATATATCATAATTTTTTAAAAAGGGACAGATATCAAGTAACTTCCTATGAAAATAATTAATTATAAAATTGAATTTGTCATATGTGGAAAACTCAGTTTACATCGTTTTAAAACATGGTATATCTATATTATGCTTGGATTTTCCTTATGACGGTTCTTTATATATATGTATTTCGTATTGTATCTTTAGATTTAAGAGGATGAGATGAGCTTCCAACCCAACATGTTTTGGAGCTTCTCTGTACCCTATCTTATGCATGCTTATAAGAAAGATTTAAGGTCTAGAATTATACTGAAGCCATTGTAGAGCAGACTTGTCTCTGTAAGAGCATTTTTATGGTCATAAATCCCAGTGAAGTGTTAAGGCATTTGAGCAATAATTAATATATTTCAATACGCAGATCCAATTGATTTGGATCTGCAAAACCAAGAGCCTCTTGAAGAAAAGATTCAATTATCTTGAGGTGTCCTTATTTGTTCTATGAATATATTGAGGTTCCTCGTTCTTTTCTTTATTATTATTATTTTTTCTTTATAAATAATAATACTTTAAATTTTTATTGCAGCCTGTCATGGCTTATTCTGAGAAGCATTTGCTTTCATAAACTGAAGGTGAAAAATACCTCCATGGCTTTGGAATGCATTTGAGTTCTAGTTCTAGTTCTAGTTCTATGCTTCCTGGGACCACAATATTTTCTTTTCAATGTCTCAGTGCGTTTGAGAACTTGTGACTACATATTCTAAAACACTGTGTTGCATGAATTATTATATAGATGATTTGCCACCATCTTTAATATTTTTGCAAAATTTACCATCTCAACATCCATTTACTTAAAAAATGGAGTACAAACTAAAGTGTAATTCTCATATACGGGCCTATGGATGATACAATATGACATTTTGATATTACTTGTTTTCTTGATGTTACAAATCTATATCACTTAGTTGCCTCCTGTTGGATTTAGGTATGGATTGGCCCGATCTGTTTATGATTCCATCTACGTATATTTTTTGGTAGGGAATAATTTTAAATAGCATGATATCTAGTATTCAATACATTTGGACGAGATCCAATTATTAAATTTGGTGGGATTAGAAATGGGATACCTTGATCTGCTTCAAATTTGACCACTATACGAGCGTGGTGTGTTTTTCGTGTTCTGTGTGCCATGTTTTTTCATTGCTTTACCTTCTCTAATGGTAATTCACTTGTGGTTGCTATATTTTGACTTGTAAGACATCTGCATTTTGTAAAATCGTGCTTTAAAATTTAAATGAATGCTTGGGGCCTATATGGGTCTTAATACGCAGTATGCACAATCTCTCTCTCACCCCCACCCCCCCCCAAAAAAAAAAAAAAAAAAAAAAAAATATTTTCTTGGTTTTTTCTATTTTCGTTTTCAATGTACAAAATCACTGAAGGCGTCTGACACAGTTCACGTGATCTTTATGCAGAGTAGTGGATCTGCTACTCAAGGAGAAATTTCGTTTTTATCTTGGAACAGCAAGGTTCAACATATATTAGCATCGACTTCAACTAATGGGACGACTGGTGCGTTGTGAAACTATCCAATTTAGCCTTTTTTATTTTGTATTTGGAGCTTGGAGTAATATATGTTTTTCTGTACTTGTGCTTATTAAAAAAAATGTTCTGTGTTCTTTCAGTGGTTTGGGACCTAAAGAAGCAAAAGCCAGTGATAAGGTAATTTTGTTTGTAATTCAATGTGAATTTAGTTGAATATTTTGGCATGATACAACCACAATGTGAACCTTTTCTTTCTCCCTCATTAACTAATGTGAGCTTGGCAATTGACAGTTTTGCAGATTCAATTAGAAGGAGGTGCTCTGTTTTGCAGTGGCATCCTGATGTTGCCACTCAGCTTATTGTTGCTTCAGACGAAGACAGTTCCCCTTCTCTGAGGGTAATGATTTTTGTGGTTTTGTTTTAACCTCTTGGACTCAACTCTGTTACTCTTGTAATTTACATTGGCATTCGCATACAGCTCTGGGACATGCGGAATGTAATGTCACCGGTGAGAGAGTTTGTGGGCCACACTAAAGGTATGTTGGTCGACACATTTGTGCTTTATCTTCTGCTTGTTTACAGATTGCTGCATTTTTTCCTAGTGTTAAGTGTCAATGCTCTTCAATGATCAGAGTCGAGGCCTTTCATGTGCACCTTCCTGCCGAATGATACCTAAAAATCTGTATTATCCGTGAAAGTTACCATATTTTTCAGAACCAAACAATCATTGACCTGTTCTGCATGCTGGGTCACTGGTTGAGTTCTGATTCAATTTGCTCTAGAAAGCAATGGCATGTCATGGTACAGTGGCTGTGGTATACTAATGAACTGTAGCCCATGTTTGGTTTGAATTTTGGTCATACCAGGTGTTCTATGCAAACTTTCAGATACAGTATAAATAACTGATTTTATAGTTTGAAGTTAAGTGGCCTGGCTGATGGCCTGGTTCGCTAGTTCAGTCGTCTTGGCCAGGTTGAAATCGAAAACACTGGGTTGATTGGAAAACCCCCAATCTATATGCTTGATACCAATTGAAGGAGGACTGTTGCAAAGGATATAATATGTCAAAGTAACTCTATGTCCGAAATAGATGGTGGGGGTTGAATAACTCTTGTTCAAACTTTAACTGACAATAATTGATGTTCAAATTCTAGCAGCTATTGCTCAACTGTAGCAATATAAATTATTTAAACTGGAGATAGCAAAGATGAATAACCAAACAACGACACATAAACACACGTTTCTATGTGGAAAATCTTGATGGGGAAAAACAGTGCGGTCTAGTCTAGGCAGACAAATCCAATATTAAAAGACAGGTATTACATATTGGGTTAACCAGACTTTAAACCAAGGACCCCCTAATTACCTCTGACCCAGACTCATGCAACGTGCTCCGCTTGAGTTCTTCTGCTGCTAGTGATCGAATTCAGTCGTGTTCTGTTCCTCAATCTATCTATGCTTTTGATCTCTATGACTAGTCATGTCCGATTTTTTGTTTATCGTGTGATTTTGTGTTGATGACATTTTAGGCTCCACAAGTTGATGATCGATATTCCAAATAACTCACCATTTAATGCAAGATGCTAAATGTAGAAAGAAAAATAAGCTCTAAAAATATCTTTCTCTAGGAATAAGTTTTGGGTATCCCAGGGTACTCGGGAAAATAGTACCCCACCCAATCATTCATTCTTTAGTCCTATTATCAGGGAAAATGAACTAATCATACACTCTGTATTCCTACTATCATGGGAAGGGAAAGGATATGATTGGTTGGGGGTACCACGTAGGAAGTTATCAGATGGTTTAATTTTTTTTTTTCCCTTTCTCTAGATGTATATGTAAAACCATATAGTGTAACAGCATACCCTAGTCTGACTATAACCCCATACTTTTAGCTAATATAGGAGTCCCATGTGAAATAGAATAATAAAACCAATTGAAATTTTTGTTTCCTTAAGTTTATAAAATGATTCTGTCTTGATTGAGCGATTGAAGTAAATTTTGCTAGATCGAATGATCATTTCAGAAGTTTTGATCAAAGCTCTCTGGTAGACCCCCAACCCCTATCCCTGAGCCTGTTTAGTTTCTCCAATCCCGCCCCACTTCTGCACTGCCTCACTCAAGCTGCAGCTTTAAAATCTCACTTACTCAAATAATGGATCAAATGCTTATTTATCAAAAAAAAAAAAAGGAGGATCAAATGCTAACGATCAATTTAAAGTTAACTTCAACCAAAATGAAACCTAAACCTGAATACACTTTTTTTTTTTTTGATAAGCAAACCTAAACCTGAATACACATCAACCAAAGCCTAAAGAACCAAAATCAATGTAAAATTTGAATTGAAAACCCCTAGAAATCGAGCCCATAGTGTAAGTGCACTTACACACATGTATGCACTTCTTTAACACAAAAATACAAGTGACCGAGTTCAACCTGAATCTATAGACTTTGCAATTTTAAAAATAATATCCAATTCCGGAGTAATCAAAAGTTCAAAGTCGCCCATATTTTCTTGATCCGGTAGATGTTATTTAATTATTAGGGGTAGTGAATTAGTGATGTTATATATTATTTGATGAGAAAGCATATGGATTTTGGATGTTTTACTTACTTCTGGAGGTATCTAACTTTAGCAGAAGCTTTAGCTTCTTTGCCAGGTTTTCTGTAGTGCAGATTTCCTTGTGCTAGTGGTCAGTGCTTTTTATTTTTTGGAATCTTTTTCCCATATATTTGTTGTTTACTTTAATGTGGATGTGTTCATGACTTTGTTGTTTCATCTGTGGTTTCCTGCGTATCTTACACCAGGTGTAATTGCTATGTCATGGTGTCCCATTGACAGCTCCTATTTGCTTACCTGTGCCAAAGACAATCGTACTATCTGCTGGGACATACTTTCTGGAGAGGTAGATGAACACTTGAATGGGCTTGTGTTATTATTATTATTATTTTTGGACCTCTCCTCTCTCCCCCCTTTTGTGCGCTTTTTCCTCCTTTTCTTTCCCGCTCCCCTTCTATTTGGTTTCGTTTTCATTTTTTCCCCCCCAGGGTTGGGGGACAAGGGGGAAGGGCGAGACCAAATTTACACTACTTTCATATATAGTGACACTGCTTTTGATGTATAACTCTGTGCAGATAGTCACTGAATTGCCAGCCGGAACCAACTGGAATTTTGATGTACACTGGTATCCAAGGATACCAGGGGTCATATCAGCATCTTCATTTGATGGAAAAATTGGCATTTATAATATTGAGGTGAGTTCCATGTTTATATGTCATCGGAGAAGAAATGGTTTAATGTGTGCGTCCATGGCTTTCCATGGCAACATTAGTATGAGTAACAGAAAATTCATTTGGATGAGCAGTCATACAAAATTATACGGATAAACAGGTCATGGGTACTTTAGGGTATTGACTCATCTCCAGTCTCAACTCCATCAAACCTTATTGAAATTTTTACTTTTAGTGTGAACAAATTTAAATTACAATTGGAATGATGTAAATGCATCATAATAGTGAATAGGCTATGGCAGTTTCTATTTGGATGATTAGCCAGAAGAAAATTTATTTATTGCCTAATTAAGAGTGGAAACTGTGGCGCACACACATACACATTCTTCCAATTTTATCACAAGTTTCCTTAGATGTTGGAACAATATAGATGTTTTAATGGTTGCTGGGTAGGGAAGACGAGATAAGCATTGTCAAAGATAAATTTTGTTATGTCTTAATGTAAAGTATTTGGGTAGAAAGGAATCAAAGATGTTTCGAGGATGTGGTGTGATATTGTGATCGTTCCAGAAGTTGAAAAGGTTTATGGTTCCTCTTAAGGGAAAAAAAAATCTTTTTGAATCTCCTCTTCTTTTGACAGTAGGTTGTGTGTTTAGTCTTGGTCCATGAACTCTTGATAGTCCTCGGGGTGGCAATTTGTGTTAACAGGTCATATTCGCGTCGTGTCGACTAAATACGTCAACCTGAATGACCCTTTTAATAATCATGTCAGGAACCTTGACATGAACACGGTCCGTTTATTAAACAAGTAAAACGGCACGACCAGTGTAAATGGGTCATGTAAATCACAACACGACATGGGCCGTTTAATAACCTATTTAACTCATTGAAATTGAATGAGTCATTTAACTCATTTATTAACTCAAGTATAAAATGCAAATATAATTGAAAAAAATGACATAATGGATGACTAAATTCATGAAAATGAGGATAATTGGAATAATTCAAATTTTAAAACATGTTGTAGGTTAATTGAGTTGAATTGACATAGTTAATTAAACAGGTCTAATCGGGTTAAAACAGGTTGAGTTTCAAAACAAAAACATGACACAATTAATTAAACGGGTCTAATCGGGTTAAACGGGTTGAGTTTCAGAATACGAGCACCACAAGATTAATTAAATGGGTTAAACTGGTTGACACGATTAAGGTCAATCCAAACTGCTAACTTCATGTCATTTCGAGTAGTGTCGAACTTTGCCACCTCTACTTGACATGTAACATGTACGTGGGTTGTGTCTCCCTTTTTGGTGCTTTTAATGCAATATATACATTACTTGTAAAAAAGGATCCCCGTTCAATTTTTTATTCTTTATTATTATTATTACTATTATACCACTTCAAGTCAGGGAATGCGTTTTAGTCCTGTTGGGTCAATGGATCTTTTAGGAATCATAGTTTTTGCGTTAACATTCAATGTTTTCTCTCTGCAGGGTTGCAGCCGATTTGGTACAGGGGAGGGTGATTTTGGTGCAGGTAAAGTAGTACCTAGATGATATGAATGTCATCTTGTATTATTTTCCAAAGAATTACTTTTAGCATCATGGTGTACGATCAGATGGTCTGCAGCTGGCCATCCTACTTGAATATCTTAGGTGCAATCCATTTACTTTTGGGTTTCATACTTTTCTCAGTCCACTTGTATTACGAGGAACATATAGAGGCCCTACTTATGAGTATTAGATGCAACCATTCATATATTTTAGCATAAAAATTAAGTTTTATGTACATTCTGTTTTATTCCCCATTTGCTTTTCTAGTTTCCATTGAACATTTCTATATAGTTTGAGGATACAGCTTTTAATAAGATAGGTAGGATGGATGTAGTTTTTGTGAAATTATTAGCTGTTTGTATTCTTAGATGACAAGTTCCACTTTATAGTTTCATGTTCATAAATGATGAGCAAGATTTTTATTTGATAGGGCTTCTTCCTGTAGCTACGAATTCCATTGGACCCAGAAATGATGCATTGGATGTGTCATCCAACTTTTTAGGATGTGTCGGCCAAGTGTTTGAAATAATGATTTATTTTTTTTAATTAATTATAGACTTGTCCATGAGGTGTTGAACATGTTTCCAAGAGTGTGGTCGGTGCGTTACATGTGTCCAAAATGAACAAGGCACCTTTGTAGAAGTGTCACTGTCTATGCTTCTTAGTCTTTTAAGAGGGAAAAAAGATCTGGTGGAAGTTGTTTTCTAGATCTGAAAGAGAGTACTTGGATCTTGCCACTATAATTAGGACTTTGTGGTTAAATTGTTGTCTTGCTAAAGGATTACGATGTGCTGGACTCGTACTATTCAAATATGAAGGGGAATTTATGAGACAAATTATACCCGTCATACCTTATGGAGTTGATTGTTGCATTATTACCAAACAAGGTGTTCTCAGGTTTAGGGAAACCTGGAAAGGCAAACTTGATCTTTCTCAGTTGACAAAATATGAGAGAGCTAATTGAAATGGTTTGGACCAGCACAATGGCTTTGAAGAGGATGTGAAATGAGCATAGGCAAGGAGGTGGAGGTTAAGGTTGCAAAAGTGTCAAGATGATGAGTTCTGAATTGTGGACGGACTTAAAGTTGATTAATCAAGTTGTCATTTTGTCTCTCTTTGCCAGTCCATCAAGCAACCAACTTTTTTTTTTATATCATCCCTTACACGCTTTGTGTCATGTGTCGTGGCAGTTTTCTTTTGCTCTCTTTTAATTTAGTATTTTGGTTATAGTTCTTACATTCTAGGTGTTCCATGCAGCACCTTTGAGGGCCCCAAAATGGTATAAACGTAAAGCAGGGGTCTCTTTCGGTTTTGGAGGCAAGCTTGTTTCATTTTGCTCAGCAGATAGTCCATCCGGAGCTTCAGAGGTATGCTTAGTGGGTTTTATACTCGGTTCTCTTTCCATTACCTTATTTGTTCTTTATTTTCTCCGTGTTCCAGGTTTATGTGCACAACTTAGTTACAGAACACAGTTTGGTGAGTCGCTCTTCTGAATTTGAAGCAGCAATACAAAATGGGGAGAGATCTTTACTAAGGACTTTATGTGACAAAAAATATGAAGAGTCCGAGTACGTTCTTTGTGCAAAGGATTGAATTATTACTTATGCCCCTGAATTCAAGTAGTGAACTGATCTATTACTTCAATTATGTGGTTCCCATTGAGTTGTCTGAGCAGGTGTGAGGATGACAAAGAAACATGGGGCTTCTTGAAGGTTATGTTTGAAGATGATGGAGCAGCAAGGACAAAGCTGCTTAACCACCTTGGTTTCAGTTTACCCACTGAAGATAAAGAAACTGTACAAAATGATCTCTCTCAGGACACAAGTGCTCTTGGTCTCGAAGGAGCGGTAGCAGATAATGAAGGATATGCACAGGAGAAAGAAACCACCCTCTTCCCTTCTGATAACGGAGAAGATTTCTTTAACAATCTTCCAAGTCCTAAAGCTGATACACCTGTGTCAACTTCTTCAAATAATATTGATGTTGAAGGTTCTGTTCCTAGTGGGGAAGAAATGCAAAAAGAAATGGGTGGACAAGAGGAGAGTGCTGATCCATCATTTGATGAGGCCGTTCAACGAGCTTTGGTTGTTGGGGATTACAAAGGGGCCGTTGCACAGTGCATATCTGCAAATAAAATAGCTGATGCTTTAGTTATTGCCCATGTTGGTGGTGCTTCCTTGTGGGAGAGTGCGCGTGATCAGTACCTTAAGATGAGCCGTTCTCCTTATCTTAAGGTATCCAAAATTTCATCTCGTCTTTTGGTAGTTAATTAGCTTAGTTCTTTTTTCTTCAGTTACTCATAGAAATTATGGTATTTCTGTTTTGTGTTTTATAATTTTTTTGATTATTTCATTTGCACCTTCAGGTTGTTTCTGCAATGGTGAACAATGACCTCATGAGCCTAGTAAACACCAGGCCTCTGAAGTCCTGGAAAGAAACACTTGCTCTTCTTTGCACTGTAAGTTTCTCAATTTCTGATGACGAAAATATTCTTATGTGATACTGCAACGTCATAGTCACATGCATTTCTTGTTTTATATGGAAATTAATACATTTAGATTTAATGAAAGGAATGAAAATATTGCTACAAGTTTTTTGGGGCACTATTATATTTTTGTAATGCAAAAATTTTAACATTGTATACACACACACGCGTCTCACTAGGGCTTGAACGCTCAACCTCCTCTTTGGGGAGGCGGAGGACATACCACTCAAGCCAAGGATTTTAGGGAATTTTAACATTGTAACAAATTTCATTTTCTGCTTTTGCATGATGATAATTGATGATATAGACACCCTTCAATCCAATAATGGAATTAAAAGCACCATATGGTACTCCAGTTCTGCTGCATTTTTTTTCTTTTTTGCTTGAAATGGTGTTGGAACCTTCTTTTTGAGTTATTTGTCTGTTAAAATTGTCACTATTAAGTATAATTATACAAGCAAGAATTATCATTTTGTGGACTTGATTGTGGAGTATTGACCCCCTTGATTTGGTGCTGGTCAATGCGCCTTTGCAAAAATAGACAGGTACCATAGCATTCCCAATCATTTCCTTGGATGAGGGTTCCCCTCTTTTAAGTTCTGATGATACTGAAATTAGAAAAGATTAATAATCCTCTTTTCTCTCGTTGCTAGTATTGCTAAAGATAATTGAATTTGTGATTATTGCATTTACTACAATGTTTATACATCATTCTTATTATAACTGTTTGTATAGTTTGCACAAAGAGAGGAATGGACTTTGCTCTGTGACACACTTGCTTCTAGACTCATGGGTGTTGGTAATACACTAGCTGCAACTTTATGTTATATATGTTCTGGAAATATTGACAAAACAGTGGAAATTTGGTCTCGAAGTCTGGCAACTGAGCATGAGGGGAAATCATATGTTGATATTCTTCAGGTGTGTATGCTCTTTTTAAATATTCATTTAAAGCATATTTTTCAAATTAGAGACGTGACAATAATTTTTATTTATATCTTGAATAGGATTTAATGGAAAAGACTATTGTCCTTGCTTTGGCAACTGGACAGAAGCAATTTAGTGCTTCTTTGTGCAAGCTTGTTGAGAAATATGCTGAAATATTAGCAAGTCAAGGACTTTTAACAACAGCTATGGAATATTTGAAGCTTTTGGGTACTGAGGAACTGTCTCCTGAACTTACGATCTTACGGGATCGTATTGCTCTTTCTGCAGTGCCTGGTAGGTTCTTCTGGTAACATTTGTTATGCAGTATTGTATGTGTCTTCTCTCTCAAGTGTGTTGATGATTAGGAGATATTATTTACTTGATAGTCCTGGAGGAAACTATTCATTGTCCTTCCGGATTTACTTGGCATCGGTTTTTCTTGTCTCTTACATCATATTTCTTCCTTGCATGTTTCACATAGATTTATATCTCTATAATGGATGTTCTAGGTTTTCTGATATTCATATTGAGAAGGCTCAAGCAGTTGCTTTATTCTCGTTAAACTCAGGATTTAATTAATACTGTAATGCCTTGTTGCAGTACTACCTGATTATTTAAGATAGTAGTAAACACAAAGAGATCATTTGCCATACAGGCAATATGGTACATTGTGTTTTTTTTTTTTTTAAAGTAAGAATATATTAGATTACATTCAAAAGGGGAACACATCCCGAGAACTACACAGGCCGAGGCCGAAGAAAAGGTCCTAAGGGCCCAAGCAACCCAAAAATTCAACAAACTCCTCTATAAATTCAGAATTTCTCCCCATCCCTCAACTAAAAAGAGAAATAACAATAAGATATTTCAAAGCCCTAATGGAAGATTCCTCCCCGTCGAAAGATCTTCTTTTCCACTCCTTCCAAACGCACCAACAAACGCAAGTTCATTGTTAGCAGAACAAGTTCATTTCTTGTAGTAGTGCAGAATATTTCATGCTAATCTCAACTTTATGTTTTCTCGTGCTTATGATATTTTTATTTTTTCTGAAATTCTCCATATTTTTATTTGCAACCTTTGAAAGATTGATCCTCTCCTCTAATATACCCTTTATTTTTTTCATGACCAATATGCCCTTTTTATAACTATTGTATCCTTAATCCATTTTTGTTATCCAACTTCAACACTATAACCAACTCATAACCCAAAACAAATAGGACCAAATTTCTGCATCTGCTGCACCATCCTCGCGTTTTCTTGCCTGCTTTTCCACCACCATTATCAAATCATCTCTCTCTCTCTCTCTTGTCCACAGTTGCACAACCACAATGACCACTTTGCTCGCCAATGTTGTTTTATCAATTCATCTCAAATCATGTGTGTGGGTGGGCGTTCTGTATTTTTTTTGTTTTGTTTTGTTTTTTTGTTTGTGCAATTTACACTATTCGTTTAGATCAATGATGGAATATTATTGTTTCCAATTTCCAGTCCATTGGACATTCTTATAGGATTGTTTGTCCATAGGATTCAGAAGTTGGTTGTTTATTTCGTTAATTCTTTGTAATGCATTGCATGTCTTGCAGATGTACTGGTGATGATTTTCACACTAATAATTTCAAGTAGAATAAGCTCTTCTATGGCCTATTTAGAGCAGGCTTTATGTTGCTTGCCATTTTAGTGCCAGCTGATGATAGTCTCTCTCTTTTGCAGAAAAAGAAGAGCCCAAGTCTATGACTTTTGAAAACCCTCAATTGCAAACAGGACCTGTATATAGTGCTGATCAATCCGGTTTTGGTGTGGTTGAGACCTCTCAACAGTATTATCAGGTGATTTTATTTTACATCTCTTCAATATGTATAAATATATGTATTTTTTTGTTTGGTAAGGATTCATCTCTTCAATATGGAATACATTCATGTTGCTGTTTCTATTTAATGAAGTATCTGCTGAATTGCTCTTAATGTAACTCCTTGTTTTTATGCTTTGTCTTCTGCTTAGGAAACAGTGCCATCGCAACTGCAACCAAGCATTCCTGGAAGTACTTATGGTGAAAATTACCAACAATCATTTGGTTCTTCTTATGGCCGAGGATATGGTGGTGCTCCTGCACCATATCAGCCTGCACCACAGCCTCATATGTTTCTTCCATCCCAAGCACCTCAGGTTCCACAGGTATTTGCATTATTGGTCCCATTTCCCTTGGGAAGTAACCAATTTTGTCATACTTGCTTACTGGCATCAGTAATAATGATAATAGTAATATTTTATTCTTGGTTCTCATTGGTGAGACTTTGTAATCACTTAATTTGATTATAAACCTTCCAGCCGGAAGCGGCGATCTTTTTCAAGCATATATGACATTCTAATTGATAGGGAACTTTTGCGTCTCTTTTTCTTTAAAAAGATCAAATATAGCAAATTATGCTGTCAAAAAATGTGTCTCTTGTTGAACTGAGATTTTTTCCCCCCTTTTCTTCTAGCCAAATTTTGCTACACCTGTTACTACACAGCCTGCAGCAAAACCCTTCATTCCTGCAACTCCTCCTACGTTGAAAAATGTGGAGCAATATCAGCAGCCCACATTGGGTTCTCAGTTATATCCTGTATGTATATGCACTATTTTTTCTTAGTTAAGCATTTCTTTATGTGACTGATATACTAATAAATTGCCTTTATTTGTTCAAGGGGACTTCTAACCCTGGTTATCAAGCTGGACCTCCTGCAACTGGTCCACTTGGCCCAATCACCTCTCAACCTGGTCCAGTTCCTGGGCATAAGATGCCTCAAGCTATGGCTCCAACCCCAGGGCCTAGGGGATTTATGCCAATTACTAATTCAGGAATTCAAAGACCTGGAATGGGTCCAGTGCAACCGCCAAGTCCTACTCAGTCAGCACCAGTGCAACCAGCCATAACTCCTGCAGCTCCACCGCCTACAGTACAAACAGTCGATACTTCAAATGTACCGGGTAATATATATATTTCTTTTACCTAAGCTTTCTTTTCTTCATTATAAGCATTTGCAACTATAATAAAAATCTAGAGCCCCTTGTTACGAATGCTTGAACTTTTGATTTATAAATATTCAAATATGATGTTGGAAATTGTAGACATCCAGATGTCTCGAGAATCTCTAAGTGGAAAGTGTAAAAATCTTATGGACAATTTGCTCCTTGGGCTCTTCTACACCACATGCGGAGAGGCTGTTTCCCATTTCAAACCTGTGACCCCTAGGTCACAATGGAGCAACCTTGCTGTTGTGACAAGACGCGTCCTCTACTAACTCCGTGTCAAGTGAATTTTTATCCGTGGATAATCTAAATAAATTGGAGATCCTTTTGTCCTTCAAAAAGAATTGGATGATTCTATTTGGTTAAATACCCTTTAGGGGTATTTTAGTGATAGGTTCTACGGGAATTGGATGATTCTATTTGGTCAAATACCCTGACGGTGACTGGTGGAAGAGGCCGGTTGGTAAAAAAGCCCTCAATTCCTTGGGGTTATTTATCCTACACATGGAAGAAGAAGATGAAAAAGGAAGAAATGTAGTGATAATTTGATTCTTCGTGGCCATAGTAAATAGGAGAGAATTTGAATTTCTTTCTTCTTTTTAACAAAATAAAAAAAAAAGGATTAAGCTGTGACATTGTTTTATCATGGGCAAACGACGAAAATTAAATGCACGCATGGGCATAGTCGATGGACATTAGATGAATATTCCTGTAATACCCTTTGTTGGTCCCTAGGGACGGAGGAGGCTATGTTAGCCGGGAGTCGATGTTCAAGGATGTAAGGTCAAAGGTAATCCTACTTTTTTAGGGTAAGAAGGGGTTGGGAATTTGCCTTAAGCCAATGTTCAAGTATCAGTTACTGTGGCGTTGAAGTAACCCATGCCATACTCCGAGGAAAAGCCTTCAACAAAAGAGTACTTATATGTGAAACCTACACAGGTGGATAGGTATATAATACTTGAGGGCGCTAGACAATTCTCTCTAAGGAACTCGGCAAAGTAATTATGTACTAGTTGGGTGCAGCGCTGATGATTTCAAAGCAGACTTTCCATTCATTAGCTAAAATAAGATCACCGAGATTTCGTGGTGCATTGTAGAACTTATTCCAATTCCAAGAGCTTGGATCGAACGGTATGTCAATACCAATTTGATCGGAGCTCCTTATTGAATTTCCCATTCGACGAGATATTCAATACTATGCCTTGAAGAGGATTCTAACCTCCATGCTCTTTGGCATGGGATTTTGAGTTTCTCATGGCTATCATTTTACCACCACGATGCCATATGCAAGGAAGAGACTCATACAATGGCAGAGGCCAATAGAGCTTTTGCACATTTTTGTAAATCCGGGAACAGATCAACTATAGAGACACAGATCTGTGGATACACACATTTCAATCGGAAAAGAATCGAGAAAAGAAAAGAAAAGAATTGGAATTGATCAATATTTTATTTTTTAATTTTTACACATTTCGTTTGGAAGTCACCATATAATAATTTCCCCCAAATTGCCTAATATGTTTTGCTTGGTTTTTGCATTATGTGCTACAGCGCAGCAAAGACCTGTTATTACAACTTTGATGAGACTTTTTAATGAGACATCAGAGGCAGTGGGTGGTTTGCGTGCAAATCCTGCCAAGAAGCGGGAAATAGAGGACAATTCTAGGAAAATAGGTGCCTTGTTTGCTAAATTGAATAGTGGGGACATCTCTAAGAATGCTGCTGAAAAGCTTGTACAGCTTTGCCAGGCTTTGGACAATGGTGATTTCAGTACTGCTCTCCAAATCCAGGTATAGCTGACATATGAGAGTTTCTCTCTCTCTCTCTCTCTATATATATATATATATATATATATATTAATTTTTTAATGGTGGTGGGGATTGAAGTTCCTTTTGTCCTTCTGTTGATTCTGCCTTGTACAGGTCCTCCTTACCACTAGTGACTGGGACGAGTGCAATTTCTGGCTAGCGACTCTCAAACGAATGATCAAGACTAGGCAGAATGTGAGATAAATTAGACCCCAGCATCTCAAACGCGGTTTTCAATTCTTAGGTGTCCGGCCTTATTTCAGGGCGCTGATCCCTTTTTCAATGTACACAAGAGCTGACATCTATAGATTGGATGGCAGGCTTTTGATTAATTGTTCCTTCCCTCTTCTCCAGCATCATCTATTTTGGCTTTATTTTCATGTGTTTTTTTCTTTTTCTTTTTTTAGAAAGCAATTAGAGAATATATATATAGTTCTCAGCACGTCAGTGGACTTCAGCTGATTGCATTTCATTTATATTTTAGGTTTGGAAAATAGAGTTTGGTTTTAAATTGATTTTGTACTTCATCCATAATTTTGTTTACGGTCCAGTCTATGAGCTGTTTTGAGCGATAGCTTCTGAAAGTTTGCCCCCAGATTTGGTGTTTGCAAGGCCATAAATTTGTACTTTATATCAATGGTGAAAATTCAGTTAGATGAATTTTAGTTTTTCTGGTGATGATTCGTATTTTTTGTTTTACCATCCAGCTTGTGATGATTGTACTTCACCCTTTTTTTTTTTTTTTGGGAGGTTTATGCATGACAGAGTAACTGCTACCAAATTATATGTCTGAGAAATTAGAACTATGCACTGGAACCATTTCATTCTAGTATAGGAACAAGAGGGATAGGGGCAAAGGGACCCTCCTCCCATGCTCATTTACAGAGTTGGATCACTTTATTTATTTTATTAACTCATCTGCAACCGCCTAAGTTCGGCCTAACGGTGGAAGGATCCAGTAATGACTCATCTGCAACCGCCTAAGTTCGGCCTAACGGGGGAAGGATCCAGTAATGACACGAACCTGAACACCTCAGTACCGTACACCCTAATGGTGGTTGGACGCAGTAATCACTTTGTTTACCCATCCAGCTAACGACGCTAACCCGAACACTGATTGTCTACCCTAATGGTTGGAGGACTCGGTAGCAATCAACCGCCCTAACGGAGGGTGCTTGGTGTGACCTTGGACTGTCTTGCAAGGTTTTGAAAGTTAAGCCCCTTGAGAGTGGAGGATTGGTTAGAACTACTTGTTGGGACGATTGCTGGATGCGGTTCTATGAAAAGCCAAAAAAAGGGAAGAGGAGTATGCGATTGATTACTCCATTTTCTGGCTTCATTCATCTGGAGGGCCAGAAATAAGAGTGTTTAATTTTAGGGTAAATTACATTGACCTCCCTTGAAATTTAGGCAAATAACACAGAGATGAAGCGTTAGATCTTTATTACTTTGACATCCTCAAAAAGTGTAAAATGTCTTATATATCCTTATCTAATTTAATAAATAAAAAATTGTCAAACCAAAAGACTATTACATTTTTTTTTTTCTCCATCTCGTACAACACCATATTACTCTTACCATGTTTTTTTTGAAAAAAAGAAACCTAAAAAAATTATTTTTGTAAAAATTAATTATGTAAAATTGATACTTTTGCATTTCATGTCAAAATATAAGGTTATTAAAGTCTTTTAATATAAGGATCGGTAACTTAATCATTTTTTGAGCTTTTTCATCAACGACAGGGAGCGTTATTAAGCACATGAGCCAAATTTCAAGGGGGGTCAAAGTAATAAAGGCTAAATGTGCTAAGTAAGTGTAATTTGCCCAAAACTCAAGGGAAGCCAGTCTAATTTACCCTTAATTTAATTGACATTACTACTAAAGCTGTCTCAGTTCTCTGAATATCAAGCTGTTTGCGGCTCAGATGGAAGAACAGTTGATCAGCCCATTCAAAGGCTTGTTTGGCGCCATCCCACTAATTATCAGCTGAAAATTAATGCAGATGTTTTCATTCTTCAACAAAGAAAATCTGAGTAGGGATGGCAATATTGTGGAATCTGAGTAGGGATGGCAATATTGTCTGGACCACAGGAAGTCAGATGGTTTGCACATGTTTGAGATGTGCAATTTAACTTGCAATGTCAAACTCATGCACTCCCCTTTCTCGTGAGCAATCCTTAGTTGCTCGCCATTGTCCTTAAAGACTCAACACTCGCCATTCCGTTTCAATGCCGCCAAACTTAACATTAGAGATATAATTTAGCAGCTGATCCAAGGACTATATCCCATAGACCCAAAACAACTTGGACCAACGGACCCAGAACAATTTGTAATAAAGATTGGACAGGGGCCGCGCGAACGCAGGCCCCCACTATCACAAATTATGACATAGGTTCCATCACTTGGGCGGACCTTAAGCAGACAACCCTCCTAAGTGCAATGGAGGCCACCAACCTAGGCCATGGGCCTTCTTGATTACCCATTGACCCCGTCCAGGTAAGTAAGTTTTTCATTCGGCCTTTGCTTCACTATATAGACCGTACTCATCTACTTCACTTCTCTATCTTTCCGATGTGGAACAGCCGAACGTTTCAAATCTCTGATTTTCTTCCGACATCACCCTCTGAGTTCAACAACCATGTAAATGAACTGAAATGGTTCTTACCCAAACTCCAACATGTTTGTTTAGATCTAATATTTTGTCCTTGTTTGTGTGAACATAGTATATATTTGTATCTGTGTATCAACATCTCATGGATTTGCCATACTGATTTGTGTATCAAAAATGGTGGTAGACATTTCACTTTTTCCTCCGCATTCCCACTAAACTGAGAAATTTCAATTGATCCAAATTCCTTTGTATAACAAAATATAAAACAAATTTAGGAGAAATTTCAATTATCAATTAGATTTAAATGCAAGTTGATTGCAAAATATGAACCATAATAAGCAAAGAAGTGAATTTCGTAAAAAAAAAAAAAAATACATACACCTTCTGTGTGTTTTTAGCAGTCTGTTAGATTACCCGCAAGGTTTTCCAATTGATACAATTGATAAGATGTGTAGTTTCATTTTGTGAAGTGTAACTTGTGTAATTGGCATATTTTGGTGTCAAAACGTGTCCGATTCAGTTGTAATTTTTAGTTTACTTTTGAGTCTTAAGATCGGAAGTGGAACGTGTGCAATCTCACTCCATATCAATAAGAATACACTTAGATAGGTAAAATATCGAGGAGGCGTGTTATTTATCAATTGGTTTATGTTTTAACCAAGAGCCATGCATTTTTAAGTTTAAAAATTATTTTTTACTCTGTAAAAGTACAATAGGTTGCACTTTAAATAAAATTGATTGCATTTCATACAGGTGAAAAACTAGCTCTCAGTCAAAACACAACCAAAAAGGAAAGTTAGTCTAAAGTCAAACTTGATTAGAGAGAAGGTTTTGCACAAAATTGCTTAGGTTTCCAAGAGTTTCTAGGTCTCTCTTAACACTTATATATATTTCCAATGATCTCAATAATCATTACGGCTCTTGAGATTAAGTTTTTCAAAACCTTAGAGAGCTATTGAAAGAATTTTCGAGATTGTTTATTTTTTAGTCTGAGAATATATATACCATACACACAAGTGATTCAAGAATGTTTCTCTTGTTTGTTCTCATTGAAAATATTTTGCTACCAGTTATCAAAGCAGATTTGTCTTTCAAAGAATTTAACAAGTTTAATATATAATAATTCTTATTAAAAAAAATTTATGATAAGTTAATATTTATCAACACTCTAATAATAAGTCAATTTTATCAATATTAGAAGATAAGCAAAAGAATACCATCCTCTTCAAGAGGAACACATAAGTTCGCAATGAGCTCTCTCAAATTTCAGCTTCAAAAATTCAGATTTGAAGAAAAGGAGGAAGAGATCACACTTTGAATGAGTCAATTTACTAGCATTCATTCTACAAGGATAACAAAAGTAAGCTTGAAGTCGAGTGTTTGGAGAAGGGAGTCGCAAGGTTGAAGACGTTCATCGATTGATGGTAGAGTGAAGAGGGTGTGAATCTGAGTCAAAGTATATCAAAGTATATTGTACTTAATTTCAATGATAGTGGATCTTTTCACTCGAGGCCATATGACAATCTCTGAGATTTTCTTGTCGCTAAAAATCCTTAGTCACTCTTTAAGCCCTACTTTTACTTATAATTTATTTTTGCTTTGTGGATTGTTTTATTCAATTTTATTTTGGTAAAATTTATATCGAGCAAAAATATATATATAAAAAAAGAAGTTAAAACCTATTCATCCCCTTCTAGATTAATTATCCATGTTCTTTCCACAAACATTCCGCCTTGGGCGACTCACATTTCTCAGATTATCTTACACGTGTGTGTTGTGTGTGTTTCTGGCAACAACCCAACCGTCCACTTTAATAATTGCTCCGTTCAGATTCCATCCAATGTCCCCCATTTGAAGGCCTGCTTAGCAACCAAGGCTTGTTAGCCATCAGAGCAGAGGTCACCAACTGCTAAGACAATTGTCTGGTGAAAAGAATTACCAATTAAACTGTATAGGCTATACTAACACTCACCTTTAGACCTGCACAATGAGGAATGCTTAGAAGGAATTTGAATCATTTACTATAGTAATGCTTGCAACGCATCTCATGGTCAGGAAATGGTTGGGCAACCCTAGTCTCAACTCCAAGATGGCGATTTATCTGGTCTGGGAGAGCGGAGTGGCTTTTTCAATCTTACTGTTGCGCCAAGGCTCGCCCTCCCTCTCCAAGAGGCTACCAATATGTTATGCATCCCTGATTCTTTGAAAAAAGTAAATGCTCAAAACAAAAGCAAATGCTATATATTTTACAACAACATGAATTCAATGATTAGATTGATCTTTGATACATCAACAAATCAGAAGACATGAAAAATATTATACATTTCAGATTTTAAATTCTGCCAATTGAAGGCAAAGTAGGCTCCATTATCGAGAATTGAATCTTGGACCTCCGAAGCGGGATTTCATAAACGATCTTATCAGATTCCAAAAAGAGAACCTGGATCCAAAAAACCTCACTCTAACCAATTTTCTTGATCCTTCTCTAGAAAATTCCAAGTCCTTGGCAATGCCATGTTGAATACAATCTAGGTCATCCACCAGGGGTAGTACAACAGAACCCTGGGACTCTAGGTTTCCGATCCACCCACGCAGTAAATAATTCACTACCTGTACAACAATGATAGTCAAATATTAGAGTACACACAACAAAGAAAGAAAGACAGAACTAACTGTTGTCCTCAAGTAATTTAAACACAAAGCATGACATCTTATGTTTAAGATTCTTCTTTCTTGTTTTAAGGTTATTTGAGAACTTTGTTTCGACAATGATGGCTTTAATTGCATAACCAGATAAATGTGACCAGACCAGAGGCAACTGAGCACCTTTTACCTCCCTTTATTTATTTATTTCCTTCTCGCTATATCACAAGCTGATAATATAACCACTTTTCCATATAGCCAATTAATATATTTCACATCCCTTTAGTTGTCTCAATTTAACCGTATCAGCTAGTGAAATTACCGGTAGCCACCAAATTTATTCAAAACAAAATCAGAATCTTTCTTCTTAGTGAAAATTTAGGATGAAGTTACACTTTACTACCTACTATTTTTCTATTATTGTTGAATAACTGAATTTTCTTGTTCATAAAAAATGCTTCATGATATTACGCCCTTTATTTCTCCATTGCCTTCCGCAAGCCAAAAAAGGGACAAAAATAGAAGGAAGGCAAAACATGTTGTGTGTGTGTAAATATATAAAAGTTTACATGGGCAACGAATAGACACAAAACACACGTTCCTCAACTTATTATCCAATATTATTCCCTGTTGGATACCGCATCATCAGGCTCTCCCTGGGCTACTTATGAACTAGGTTCCTCAACTTTGCCAAACTCTTATCTTACCGTAAATCAACTTTCTTCAAAATTTAGAAGGAAACACTAAATCAGACACAAATCTTATCTAGAATTATGTTACACAGACTATTATAAATAAGTGAAATTCCAGGTTTAGACACGTTATGTCAATAGGACTTGGGTTGGAAAATTCTGTGCCTAAAACTAGAGTATGTAATTATTTATTTTTGGTTTTAGTAAGACTTTGAAACCAAGTTGGTGTCAAGCTAGTTACCTTTTGTCGGAGGGCAAAATTGATATTGAAGCTACAATCAAGGGCAAAAAGGTAAAATTTCAAGGCCAACAGTATAAAGGTAAATTGACACTCATACATGCTCTCTAACCAAATTAGGGTTTCATTTTCAATTGAGAGTGCATTCAAGACCAACGGTAAAATGGTAAATTGACACTCATTTTCAATTTAAAACTCTAATTCCCTATTTATTTCAACTTATGATGAATTTTATGCTAAGATAGATGTCAGTCAATAGTAGCTGTGCACTAAGAGAAAATCCCTGAGAATAAAGTGGTTAAAAAAAAATTCTTAGATTACTTCCTTCCTAGATTTCAAGCAAAAGTAACCGCTATCGAAGAAAGTAAAAAAGTGGATGTCATTAAAGTAGTACACTTGGTTTTCTACATACACACTGCGTGAAATGCACTTCCTAAAAAAAAAAAAAAAAAACAAAAAAAACTATGAACTTCATACCTCGGGAACTTCGTCATGAGGGCAGTGACCAGCAGGACTGATTTCATAATATGGAGCTTCAGGCAGCTGCCTTTTCACCTGAAGACCCCAGACAGGCTTTACCCAAGGGTCTTCTTTTCCATACATGAGACAGATTGGTATGCTATTCATTTGACACCTGCAAATACAAATATACTAGAAGTCCTTAACTTGGAGCAAAACAAAAAGGTATAAAGTTTAATGGATTATCTGCAGTATTTTAAGCTGTTGTCTACCTACCTAGATAAAGCCTCCTTAAAGGATAGTTCTCCCTGAGGAGCAAACATCATAGAGGCAAATGATGCAGCGGCTGCTGGATGTTGTGTTATCTCAAGTATACGAGAGAAGACTTTATCAACCTTGGTTGAATGATCTGCATAAACTTGCTTAAGTACCTCTCTTATACTTCTAGGATCACTTATTTTCTGCCATCTAAAAATCATATAAAAAGTTGAGTTTAGAACATTTTAACCCAAACAATGGTGATTTTAAAAAGTGATGTAGAAGCTTCTTTTTTCTACAAATATAATTACTGGATGAAGCACCCAACTGAGTTATGATTGCCCTAAAAGTTCAATTCTCAAAAATGAATAAAATAAACATAAATTTATGTCGTTCGCTTTCCAAAAAAAGAAACAAATTAGTGAGACTATTATTAAAAGACTGCAAATCATAGAACAATCATGTGCACACATCAATATGATCACTCTTGTTTTCATAAAAAAAAGGTTTTCAACTGACGGGCATCACATTCAAATGAAGACATGATCTAGTCGATTGATGAAAATAAAATGTAAACGTACACGATTTCTGTGAGCTTTCTGACACTGGCAGGAAGAGGAAATCTCCCAGCCCATGGAAAAATCCTGGCTAGTCTTGGAGATCTTGTAGGATTAGGGAGAAATCCCCAAAACGGTGTTGCATTAAGAAGTGTAACACCCTTCACCAATTGAGGGTTAGATGCTCCAATGTAGAGCGCGACAAATCCTCCAAGTGAGTTCCCCACGACATAAACTGGTTCACCAATGACCTGTAGCAATATTATAACTGACTCAGTTTCATCATTTTACATACAAACTTCATGCAATCATTTCTTTGAAAAATACAAGAGCGATGGATATATCTTAGAAATCCTATAATCTATATTAGATGAAATAAAAAAATAAATAAAGTCCCAAAGCTATATTTCCTTTGTGATTATAATAAGGTGATAGAGATAGCAGGGGCAGAAACTAGATTTTAATGCCAATAGAAATTTGTCATTTCGCTAGTGTAACATATAAAATGAAAAACAAAAAAAAAAACGTTTGACCATATTATGGTTTTTAGCAGCAACGCACAATAACAAAACCAAATGTGAAAATATACCTTTTATCATATGCAATGCACATGCCACCTATTAGTCAAAGCAGCAGTTTAAGGAAGAGCAAGAAAAATTCAATTTGCAGTCCAAATGCTTGTGGAAGTTTTTGAAATCCCAAATCTAATTTCATTCAGTGAATCAATTCTTTATTTAAGTAATGGGTTTTGGAATAGCATTTAGCACAAAATCCACGGTATATTTATTTATTTACTTGGATAAGAACAATATTGAAGAACTCATTGAACGTAATGTCCTGTTAGTCTAAGTGATGCTAGTTAAGTGAAATCATACTTTCAGTTATCAAGTCAAAACCTATGAACTCTTTCACAGGCTTGGTCATTACAGATGGATTCCGACTGAAAGGTGGATTTTAAACAATTTAGAATGGTGCCAATCCAAACATGTGTAATCGGCTTTCTGCGCTTCAGCAGGTCAATATTTTACTCACGTGTCTGGACCAGACCTATTATTAGGTATGGCCCTTTTTGCTGGACTAAATCCATGTGCTCTTAGGGCATCATTGCAGCTGATTCTATGAGCTTACTTGAGGTACTTGTTAGCTTTTGGCTCTATTTTCTTTCCGTTACCTAACCTTTCAGGTTGTTTGAGTGGTCCCTTTTCTGATACATCAGGTTTCTAATCTCTCAGATTGTGCGAGGCTTCTTCTTTGCCCAGTCTGGGCGTTTATTTTGAGCCTCATTGAATATCATTGTAATTCTGCTCTCTGTCTCTCTTTCCCTCTCTGTGCGTGTGATTAATAAATAAACATTTACCCACCAAAACAATAGAAGTACAGAAGTAGAATTACTGCTAACATGACAGCAATGATGAGGGTGGAGGTGGCAGTAAAAGTGGAGGCATTTGCAGTATCAATGTTTGTGTGTGAGTGACAGGGGTGGTAGTCGTAGCTGCTGCTTTTTTTTCTGGAACGATGTTGGTGCTGAAAGAATAATAGTTAGCAGATGGGATGGTGGTGCTGGTGGTGGTGGTGGTGCTGACAGTATTGGTGGAGGTAGCAACAGCTGTAGTAGTACTGATGATGGTAGTGGGGCAGGGTGTAGGAGCAACATGGACAATGGTGCAGTAATGATGCTTGATACTAAAGTGGTGGTATTGGCAACAGTGGTGGTGGTGATGGTGTTGGAAGCAGTAGAGCCGGTGCTGACCACAATGGTGGATATGACAATGGCAATGGAAGTGATTGTGTTTCATGAGAGAGTGGATAACTTTTACTTAATGCCTATATAAATTCTTGAAGTCCTAGCCAATCAGCAAAAAAAAAAGTCTAAAAGGCATTCATAAACTTTCACCAAAAAAAGGAAAAAAAAAAGAACACAACATCTAGAAATTATGGAAATTTCAGTACAATTATGCAAGTTGAACCAATGGGCCAGACCCTTACTTCCCAAAGGGAGGTCAGGGGTTCAAGCCTCAGGCATATGTGTGTGAGTACCAACCAAGGAAAAAATAAAAAACTATGCAAGTTGAAGAATTCAGCGCCAATAATGCACACACCGCCATACAAAATGACAATACATTAAAAACTTGCGCACCCGTAACTTTTCTGCCTAACCAGTTCAAGATAGAATACAAAAGACCGTTCAACAAACAGGAAATACAATCCTGCTTGTTCAGACACTCAACACACTTTTATTTTTTTAACGTTCTTCATATTTTATGTCATTTAGAAAGGAGAAGGGGAGGGGGGACTTATGTTTTCCTATTGTGCTCCAGTCTCTACGATAGTCTAAAATGGCTGTAGAAATGCAAAGCAATGAACTGCAGTCTGTATATTACCATGTTATCTTGCACACTCAAAACATGAAACTGATGTGTGAGAGCGAATACATTGATCATATTGAAACAAGTAAATATTAAAAATTATGGATATATCTATATATATATATATATTACATGGGCCCATCAAAACCATATAAATACATAAATACTATATAAATTATAAAAATAAAATAAAAAATAAAAGACAAAAAAATTGACAGGCATGTGTTGGCAAACAAGTCCGGAATCAAGAACAAGTACAAGATGTGATCAAATGAACCAAATGAAATAAACCAACCAATTTAAATATATTTTTTAATGAAAAGTGAACCAAATTTACTATTGTATACATAAATACATTTATAAATTTACTATTGCAATGTTTGGTCTACACATTACTGGAAACAGAACAGAATAGCAATATTTCTATCTGTTTAATGGTCTATATGGTACAAAATTAAGATTTTTAAGATGAAAAGTAGCTAAAATGATATTGGAAAAAGGGAACATATAAGAGATGAAACCGTAGATGATTTTTAACCAAAGTATATGAGTATTATTTTATTTACAACTAAGTTCCACTGCCAGCTGAAAATAAATATAGAGAACATGTATGGTGGCTTAGTACCTCTTCTATGAAATGGAGAACTTGGTCCCGCCATAAATCAATAGAATAAACAAGCTCATTTGCCCATGGTTCGGTTTCATCTCCAAAGCCCCAGACAAAGTTGTCTGTTTCGGATACATCTCCATTCTTAGACCGAGGAGTGGGATCTTCAAATGGCAAAGACATGCCCTGCCCAAGAAAATCCAGTGCAAATACTCTATAGTCGCGGCCTAGATCCTTCAATTGTTTCTCATAATGAAAGGAACCAACACCAAAACCAGGAAGAAAGAGCACCGGTGGGGAATCTATGTTTTCAATCCCTGATTGTTCATAATAAACCTTGAGTTTAGGCTTCCATTCCCAAAAACTACTACTAATTGGAGCACCAGAATCACCATTCGGTTCATCCGGCAAACCTGGAATCAAGGCTTTAGTTATTAATTCCTCCTTTTCAGTAACATTCCTCACACCTTCATCCCCATTGACTACATAAGGATTGTAGCTTTCACTCAAAACACTTGAATCAATATTCTGAAAGCCATAAAGAGCATTAAATGATCTAGAAGCTTGGCTATCGGAAACGTTCTTTAGGCAAGAATGAATCCGATTAGAATATCTCAAAGATCCCCACTTAGAATCAATTATAAAAAGTAAATTTCTTGGTTTTCTTTCCGCAGAAAACTTCCGCGATTGATGTACACTCAAGCTTTTCTCAACCAACTTCCCTCTCAAATTTAGAACATGACAACATGTTGCAGAATGACAAGAGAGAATTTCCATACCAAAAAGTTGCTTTCTGTATTGAGGAATCAGAGTAAAGAATTAGCAGCTATCTATCATTTGTTTTTGGTAAATTGCAACCAATTTATCTTTGCTCCCTTTTAATTGCATAGAAAACTGAGAAATGATAAAAATAAAATAAAACAAAAAATGTGTCATATGCTTAGTTCTATAATTCTATTCTAATTTTAACTCTTTGGAAAAAAAAAAAAAAAAAAGAAAAAAAATCTCACACAGACACACAGTCAACTAAGCCAAAACTTTGACGGAGTCTAGTCAAATGGAGGTTTTGTTACAATCATTCAAAATATGAAGAAATAATGAATGGGAATATTTTTTATATATGTTTTGGTCAAGAATCAGAAAAATACTGGATTTGGATCTCTTGCTGGAATAATTTTAATTAAGTCCAAATTAGCAGAATTTGCTGGCACCTAGCAACAACATAATCTAGATTCTAGAGAGTCAATCATCAGAGATCCTAAATATGATTCCAATCTGACATAACACATCTAGCTGCAAATTACATCACCAAATCTTGAATATTAGAAACTTCAATTAATTTTGCTTTCCGAGATTTATTTTCAGCAATCAAACACAGCAAATGAAATCCAAAGAAACAGATATTCATATAAATATGCTTTAGTGTTAAGACCTTAATTGATGATAAATCAAATTTTCAGTAAGAACACCACACGACAATTCATCAACAGAACCATTTGATATCAATAATTTTACTCTCAAACCCTAATAACAACAAATAAAAGAAAATTACCACTAAATTGAACATCAAAATTGACAGCTACATAATACAATACTACTACTAGGGGAAAAAAACCACCTTTATTCTTTCTTTTTTTTTTTTCTTTCTAATTTTATATGAATTAAATTCAATTTCTACATTATAAATCAAATAAAAGTGATTAATTGTAAAGAAGAAAGTGCACCCAGAAGCAATTAAACGTGCCACTTATAATATAAAAAAATCTCTATAGCTGATTTCACAAATACATACAAAGTTACATGCATATAGGGAGAGAGGGTCGAGAAGATGAATTACATGTGAGAGAAATAAAGCAAAATTAGTATATAATTGTTACCTCTAAAGAGCAGAGAGTGTCATGAGAGTATAATAGTTTGTGAAATTTTTTGACTTCTGGTTTTAGTCTCAGATATTTGAATGAGCGAGAAGAGTCTCGGTTGCTTGAAAGTTTGGGTCTCTTTTGAAAGCCAGGAAAAATAACGAATTAGTAAAAATTAATAATTCCTGTTTTTGGCGAACTGAAAATGAAAAGAAAGAAGAGTACACGTTATGTTAGACACGTGTTTTTTTGACTGGTGGTGTCGGCGCCTAAAGAGTGGGACTTGCTTGTTTCTCTACATTTGATAAACCCAAAAATGAGTCTCTGATTGATAAGCTTGTAACGGAATATTCACAAACGCCTATTTGATATATATAAATTATAAATAAGTGTAATTAGATGAAAAATCATAAGTTTTTCTTATTTTTGTGGTGGCTGAGTGAGTTAGACGCTCTTCTAACTAAGTCATTCAGTAATGTTCGTAGCTAAAACTAAAAATACTTAAATATTTTTTTTAAAAAAATAAAAGCAATGATAGTGATGTAATTTAATTTATTACCGTGAGGGAATCAAGAACGAAAAGTCAAGACTCCGTTAGACATGCGTCATGTTTTTGTTCTTTTTGTTTTTGGGGTTACTACAGTATAAAGAATGTTTGGTGTGGCATTGTTTTAATTTACACAGTACTAAAATACTTCATAAACAGTGACACAAAATCAAAACACTAAAAAGTTATTTTTTCTTGTTTTGACAACTGTTCATGACCCAAAACTATAACACTAGCACAACACGAGCCCAAACATTTCACAACAAATCATCTTTCCCAAACGTGATTACGATTTTTCTCCAAAATACTCCTACGATAAAAGTGCTGTTTCTATTTTAGTTAAAAATAAAATGTCTAAACCGAGACTCATAAAATTTAATTCATAAAATGTGTTTGGTAAATTCAAATTTTAAAGTCCTTTTGAATTAAAACATAATTCACTTAAATAGTTCAACATTTTTAAATTGACTATATTATTCTCACATCTTATGAACCAGAAAACTTTCCATTACATTACCAGTTATAGCTCATAAAAAATGTGAATTAATTTTCTTACTCTATGAAAAATAAGAGATTAGGACTTTATATATGTATATATGTAAATACCCATTCTTCATCAACAAGTACATCTCATAAATTTACCTTCATCACCAGTAATCAGCAGGTTCAGCTCCTCTCTCTCAATGTATAAATATAATTAATTACATATAAATATATATACCTAAATCAATTATGTAACGAGGAAAAAAATAATAATTATTTAAATATGGCCCCTAAATCCAAGCAACACTCTAATTTGCAAGTTCTATCTCAAATGGTGTTTTCAAAGATGCTTTACCTTTCACAGCTCATATTTTCTAAATTATCTAATCTGATGATTATTCGTATTCCTGTGTGTGAGTGTGTATATATATATATATATAAACTCTCTTCTTTCCAACTCATATTTTTTATTTTATTGTCAGGGAGATTGTCTAGAGTATATTGAACTGAAAAATGCATGACCCATAGAGTATGAATTTTTTTAAGAGATCCGATACTATCATTAATAATAATATGATTTAATTACAGTTAATTCTCCTCCACTACTGGTTTGTGTCACATAAGCCTCTCAATTATATTTTTGACGGATACATTCTCATATCCATTATCATAGTTCTATACAAAAGAATAGAAAGGACAATTTAAATTGAGTTGAATAACATAATCGCATACATTGGACAAATTATTAGTTTGGATAAATAAAGTATAAAACAAAACCTAGCACAATACAAGCTCTCACATCTCAATAGTCCCACCACAAACATGTGAACCAGCTGCTTTCCGTCTATGGTTTACCAGCGATTGTGACTTTGTAAGGCATGAACCTCGATTCATAACGGGGAGGAGAATATGAAGAAGGGCTGTGTTTAATAGGGCCTTCGGGTGCTTTAATTTTACTATCTTCATCTGCAAAAGTCGTGACAACAATATGAATGAGAGAGACCTACATAAAAACAGAGAGAGAGAGATACTTACAGCTGCCGGGAGTGGTGTATAATTGCCGTGCAGACAGTACGGGTGAAACCATGATAATCCAAATCATGAACAAGCAGCATATGATAGAAGAAGAGATCCAAGAAGCTTTGCTTATCATTTTAATTTGTTTTACTTATCCTTTGATCTCACACTTACACATATTTATACATACATTTCATGGACCCCAACCTATCAAGGCAAATGGAGAGTTTCCATGACTGTTCATTGGCCAGGGATACCACATAGTATATAACTACGCGGGCTATTGTAAACTTTCTCCCACCTAAACCACTTTCAGTGACTTTTGTACCACCAATCAATGTGCTTAGATTTTTATCTCCACTAAATTTAGCTATCAATCTCAAGAATTCACAACCATCAACTAGTCAAAAATATGCCCGAGTCCCCGGCCAAGTTCACACACCTTTCTAATAGCCTTATGCAAAATCCTAAGTTTACACTGGAAAAAACAGGTACCACTTAATGTTTGTTGGCCTAATTAGTTTTAAAGCACCAAGACCATTTACTCTTTAAGGAACAAAGACCAGGAACTAAAGGACCACAGGTCAATAATAATCATCATAATTTGGACTTTTTTGAATGAAGAAGATAGTGATGTTAGGCTTGTTAGCACAAGCAAGAGCACATAATTAAATCTCCAACATCACTCCTTGTCATTGGCTATCACATAGTGGTAAAGCACGACTATTTCCCTGCTTCATCGGACTCCACAGATGCCTGTAGCACGCTGAATTTACCAAAGCATGAACCACCACAACCAAGTCTTCAATGTAATTCAGGACTTCTTGATAACAGAGATGGAAAAAAAATAAAATAAAAAAAAAATCATTTTCTTAATATGTATCAATTTCAGTGCGTTCCCTTCATCCGGAGCCTTGTTTGGAACAGTAGAAAAAGATGTATATAGATAAGAGCTTTAAAGCAGCATTACTACACATCCAACATAAACCATGGGGTCTTCAACCTTAGAGAAGGCCCTCTCATTTGTTTCCTTAGTCCTGTTTGTTATGTTGTTGCCTTCACCCAATTTAGCTTCTGCTTCTATTCAAGAAGCTAATGCTCTCCTCAAATGGAAAGCCAAACTTCGACACCAAAACAATTCTGTGCTAACGTCATGGATATTTCCTTCAAATTATAATGCCACCGGTTCTTCAAGCCACTCAAAAACAGGTGCCGTCCCGTGCACTTGGTCTGGCGTTTCCTGCAATATTGATGGAAGTGTCACGAGACTGAACCTCACAAATTCAAGTGTAAACGGTACGCTCTATGATTTCCCATTCTTGTCTCTCCCTAATATTGCATATATTGATCTCAGTATGAATGGTCTTTTCGGTACCATCCCACCTCAAATCGGAAAACTCTCTATACTCATCTATCTTGATTTGTCCATCAATCAGTTTTTGGGAATAATCCCACCACAAATCGGCCTGCTAACAAATCTTCAGGTCCTCCACCTGAACCAGAATCAATTAAATGGCTCAATTCCTAAGGAAATAGGCCAGCTAAAGTCCATTTACGAGCTGGCTTTGTCCAGTAACAATCTTGATGGTCCCATTCCCACTTCTTTGGGCAGTTTGAGCAGCTTGGCTTATTTGTATCTCTATGAAAACGAACTCTCTGGTTCCATTCCTCTGGAAATGGGAAATCTCGTCAACCTTGTCAAGCTTGAAATGAATACTAACCTTCTCACAGGTCCCATCCCTTCCACTTTCAAGAACTTGAATAAGCTAACCATTTTGTACCTATCCCAAAATCAGCTCTCTCATCCCATTCCCCCAGAGATAGGAAACCTGAAATCGCTTGAGAGTCTGGTCCTTTATACAAACAATCTTTCCGGCTCAATCCCGGCATCCTTAGGTGATCTAAGCTCCCTAACTAATCTACTTCTCTACGACAATCAACTCTCTGGTCTCATTCCTAAAGAACTAGGGAAGTTAAAGTCTCTTAATGATCTAGAATTGAGTGAGAATCAACTCAATGGTTCTGTTCCTGCTTCATTTGGTAATTTGAGTAACTTGGAGATGTTGCACCTTCGTGACAACCAACTCTCCGGTCCCATTCCACAAGAAATTGGGAATCTGAATAACTTGGTCATACTAGTAATGGATGAGAATAAGTTTTCTGGCTTTCTGCCTGAAAATATTTGCCAAGGCAGGAAACTTAAACGTTTCACGGTAAACAATAACCAGCTTACCGGTCTTGCCACCAAAAGCTTGAGAAACTGTTCTAGCTTAACCAGAGTGCGCCTCGATGGAAACCAACTCACTGAAGATGTGTCTAAAGTTTTTGGTGTGTATCCAAATCTTCAATTCATGGATTTAAGTAACAACAATTTTTTTGGTGAAATCTCCTATAAATGGGGACAATGCCCAAAACTGGCACACCTAAGGATGGCTAGGAACAATATCACTGGACGAATACCACCGGAGTTGGGAAATATATCTCAACTTCAGGTACTTGATCTTTCTTCAAATCAATTAGCCAAGGATATTCCAAAGGAACTAGGGAAGTTGAATTTTCTAACGCTTAATTTGAAAGATAATCAACTGAATGGTGGTATACCAAGAGAACTCGGATCACTAGTTGATCTGTTGTATCTTGACCTGTCCATAAATAGATTGAGTGGGTCAATACCGGGAAATCTAGAAAAATGCTTACAACTATATTACTTGAACTTGAGCTATAATAGTTTTAGCCAAAAAATTCCGCCTGAGATGTACAAGTTAGCTCACCTGTCTCAACTGGATTTGAGTCATAATTTTCTCGCGGGAGAAATATCATCGCAAATTGAAAATTTGCAGAGTTTGGAGGAGTTAAATCTCTCCCACAATAACTTCTCTGGTTTACTTCCAAAGGCTTTTGAAGAGACACATAGCTTGATGTATGTTGACATATCCTACAATGGGTTTCGAGGTCCTATTCCCAGCAGCAAAGCCTTCAGAAATGCTAGCATAGAGGCATTACAAGGGAACAACGGTTTGTGTGGCAATGTGTCAGGATTGGAACCTTGCAATAATTGCCCTACAGTTTACATTGCGAAGGAAAGCCACAAACTCAATCTAGTTCTTATGATCGCATTACCTCTTGTGGGAGCACTTTTACTTCTTGGTGCATTCATTGGACTCCTTGTCATGTTTGATAGAAGAAAAAGTAAAGTGTCAATTGAACAAAGCAATTTGCATGATGAAAATCTGTTTTCAATTTTGAATTTTGATGGAAGAGCAATGTATGATGAAATCTTAAAAGCCACCAATGATTTTGATGCCTCATATTGTATTGGAGAAGGAGGACATGGAACTGTTTACAAAGCAAAGTTGCCGCCAGACAATATAGTGGCTGTGAAGAAACTTCACCCATTATCCGAGACAGCTGATCATAAAGGGTTTTTGAGCGAGGTAAGGACATTGACAGAAGTACGCCATAGGAACATTGTAAAGCTTTATGGTTTCTGTTTACATGATCGGCACTCATTTTTGATTTATGAGTACCTTGAAAGGGGTAGCTTGGCTACGATCCTGAGTAGAAATGAAGAAGCTGAAAATTTGGATTGGCCTAAGAGGGTAAATATCATCAAGGGGGTGGCTCATGCACTGTCTTACATGCACCATGAGTGCTCACCACCAATTGTTCATAGGGACATATCAAGCAACAATATTTTGTTGGACCCCGAGGATGAGGCTCATGTTTCAGATTTTGGCACTGCTAAACTTCTGAAGCTAGACTCCTCAAATTGGAGCACACTTGCAGGCACATATGGATACATAGCACCAGGTAAACATAGCTTTGTGTTGTCATAAATAATTCGACATATATGATCATATATATTTTACTTTTTCTTTGCAGAGTTTGCATTCGCAATGAAGGTAACTGAAAAGTGTGATGTGTATAGCTTTGGGGTGTTGATACTAGAAGTGATCAAAGGAAAGCATCCGAGAAATTTCATCACCTCGCTATCATCTTCATCCATTGATCAGAACATAGTGCTGAAAGATGTGTTGGACCAACGCCTTTCAGCTCCCTCAGCCGAAGGTGAAGAGGTGTTGATATCAATTATAAAGTTGGCCATTGCATGCTTGAATGTCAATCCACAATCTAGGCCGACCATGCACATTGTCTCTCAACAGTTATCAACCCAAGCAATACCTTCCCAGAGGTCAGAACCATCCAGCTCAGATACACTTGGTGTGGAAGGCTAGTCAGTGCACTATGGATATACTACTAAGTACTAAATAAAACCAAATGCTTGCTCAACATATTTCCTCAGTTGTAACTTTTAGTGTGCTGTCTATAAGCACTTCTCATTAATATATCGTCAGCTTGTTTGTTCTACATTGTCCTCAGTGTACATACATAAGTTTGGACGTTGGTACTTAATGGATAACTATTGTTTTATGCAAAAGTAAATTGTAACAATTGTGGCACAAAACTTTACATTTCAAATCCCATCTTATCAGTAGAAAACGAAAAAAAAAAAAAAAGCACATGTTTATCACACTTGAGCTATTTTGAGCTATTTTAATTTAACAACTGATTAAATTAACTAGAGTATTTCAATGCTTTCTTTCTTTTCAACAAAAAAATAACACGTTTTTTAATAATTGAAAATTAAGTACTGAGAACTTAAATTTATAATTTATAGAACTCAATTATAACTGGGGATTTCTGTTTCACGAGAGATCTTACTTTAGATATACCCAACATAAACGACGTCCATAGAACGCGCATAGAATGAATTGATACATATTTTTATCACAAATTAGTTACTCTTAAATTGAGATATTCAGTCTCACTCTTGTCATAGCAATAGCTCAAAAATTCAGTAAGTTAAAAGACATATACTGAACGGTTTCAATTCCCTTTGCTACCTGTTTCAAGCATATAAACAAAAATATTTTAAATTTTAAAATTGAAAGCATGTATTGTGCCTATTTGGTGTAAGGTGACTACTGAACTATCATATCTGTTTAAGATTACGTTGATAGAAATAAACAACTTCCTCTACTGTCTTTAAAAGGAGTAACTCAACTCAACTTGGTACACAAAAATCTTATCCAACAAACAATCCAGAGTAACCTGCTTGCCAAACACTCTAATCTCAATGTCGGGATTAAATATAAAGGGGCTAAATACACCCAAAAAGAAAATTTCTTAGTATTCATATTGTGCATATAAACACCCCTGTACCATTTTTTGTGTGTATTAAAATGTTGCAAAAAAGACTTATTGTTAGCTGACCATTAAAAAATTAATGTTAGTCTGCAGGCGATATTTGAGACTCAAAAACTTTAAATACCCTTCCCTCTTCCAAAAATATCCCTAACCACATCTAAGCATATATTAACTAAATCTTCACAAACAATCGACTAGAGCTTGAAAAAGAGGAATTGGAGCTCATGATTACATCTATACATACACACATATATATGCCCAATTGATTCAATAATAGTATATAACCCTCGGGATTTTTGTTGTATAGAGTAAGTTCACAACTTCAGATTATATATATATATATATATAGAAACCCTAAAAGGGGTAGAATCGACTGCAGATTGAACACATATGGGAAGAGTACCTTGTGATGAGGGAAATGATACGGTGTAAAAGGCACATCCTGATGAATGAGATTGGAAGATTATCCGATGCAGGTTGAGGGAGGAGCGAGTGAGGGTTTATCCTACAATTTTCCAAAATTCACAGAACCCATCACCAATTTCATCAAATACATATTAACCAGGCTCACAATTCAAGCAAGTGAGACACAAAACACACTAAACCTGAGGCCAATCTGCGAGTATCAAGCAAAAGCTCTTGGAATCTAGCGAATTGGTCGATGAGAGAGCCGTTGAAGGTCCGTTCCTTCACAATCGCAGCCATTCTATTTGGGTAAAACCAAAATTTCAATAGTCGACTAAAAAAAACATACTGAGGAGGGCACCCTGATATACGGTATTGTCAAAGCTGCCCAATTAAGGCTATTAATGGAAAGAGGATTGCTAGTCTAACGACTGTTGCGTTTGTGATTGGTTAGAAAAGCACCTATGATTAATACATTTGCATTATCCGAAGTTGTGGTTGGATCACCCGTAAATATCCGTAAATATTGGACAAAAATCCTCTGCAGTGGAACGGTGAACCTGTTCATTTTTGCTTTTCCGAAACTATCTCCGTTAAAAACATAAAAAAACAAAAAAAAAAAAATATAAGTTCACCATTAATTTTTAAATTACATTTATCCCAAATATCAAATAACCTAAATGATTATTATACCCTGTTAAACTCCGACCCATCCACCACACTCCTGCCAACACACTATTTCTCTCTCTAGCCATCAATAAAGCCCTTTTTCTAAATATACAGAAGCGTTTTCCAAAGATAGTGATTAGTCTTTGATAAGGGCACTAACTCACTAGCGGATTCGCTAGAGGTCTTCGCTTGAACTGTACAAAGTGAAGAGCAGGAGGAAGAGGCCGCGGAGTTGCTTACCCGGATCAACCATTTTCGTTTGAAGTTCACTAAAGGGACGCGTCTGTTTTGAAGTCAGTGTTAGATTTTGAAAAAAAATCCATCATTATAATATTTTAAATTTGAGTATTATTTAGAAAGAGGTGAAAATAATATTTTAAATAATAAAAAAATAATTTATACCCACTTTCTGTTTGGCTCCCGAGAAAATCTCGGCCTAGCTTTTTTGGGTTGTCTAGAGGAAAAAAAACATAGAAGGAAGCTTTTCTTACTTAGTGTAGCCAGTAGGTCTATGGATGATGGGTCCATTGAAGAAGAAACGAAACCTTAGCTAAAACTCACAACACAAAGTTTTCCTAAGGTTTTGAGGGTTTATGTGCTTTTTATGTATTCTGTTAGTCAAATTAATTGAGTTAGTCAAATGAGGGTAAATATATTATTTGAATCGTTAAAGAAATAAATTAATGGGTCAAACCAAAGTTAAAGGGTAAAAATATCTTTTTACATGTAAAAAGTGATTTGACATATTTATCAATTAACTTTTGAGGTATGATTAAAAAACGGAACAAACATTTATAATTTGCGTGATAGTTATTTTTAAAAGATGTTTGAGAGTGACATTTGGTCAAACCTGAGAGATTGTTAGTGAAATTGTCTCAAAAATTAATGTAGTTCAAATTTTAGAAAAGATTAAAAAATAAATAAAATGTATAAAGTATAAAATTTTCTTTTTTTATTTTTTATTTGGTATAAAGTATAAAATTTCTTTCCATACTTTTATAGAACTACTCAGTCACTTTTTTTTTTTTTTATTTTTTACTCAAGTGACGTGGCGCATTTTGAACCACAAATCTCTCACCGGCTGGAAACAGGTCACTGTTCCACTTGAGATAAATGTTGTCAGTAAATACTGTCCAATCTCCACTTTGTCTACACCATAAAAAATTATAGTCTAATTTAGTTGTGCATACTTATTTACAAAGTAGAAAGTCGATGATTTAAAAGGCAATTAGATATGACTGTATCTTGCCAGTTTAAAAAAATAAACACACATTTCATAAATTGTCCATCAGAGGACTCCAACGCTTCACTTCCCTTTTGAGGAGAGGTTATATATATATCATTAGGCTAATAACTCATTAATTGTTCCAAACATTTGTCAACATTAAAAGATTTTAGTTTTACATTACTTGAGATCTCCTTCTCTATTAGACCCTTATTTATCAATTGCACTTGTGTTCTCTCAACACCTACAATACATTAAAGCGTCCAGTGCACAAGGCTCCTATTATTATTACTCTATTATAGAGTTTAAAGAGAATTGAATATACGCAGCCTTACTTTTGTGTGCGGTCGGATAGAAAGCATTTTAATATCAAAACGTGATCTCTAGCTAAAAATATAACCACCTTATCGTTGAACAACCTTAACTACCTTACATGTGAGTTTGTTTAGCCTTTCCCAAAAAAAAAAAAATAAAAAAAATAAATAAATGTGGTACACTCTCTTATCTCCATCTAATCTGGGCCACTTGTTTGTTGCTTGTCTTAGTATTTAATGGTCTCAATATCTCAATACAATTTAAAGTGATTTTTATCAAAGGCATTGTGATCCAGTAGCATCTCATTTACCTCTCAAAATAGATAGTGAGAGTTTGAATTTTTTAAATGAGTAAAGTGGGTGTGTAAATTTCTTGCCAATAACAAAAAAAAAAAGAAAAAGAAAAATAGATTTGAAAGTGGGCTTTTAAATGACCCAAATGCTCTTGGTTTTATGGTTCATTATTCAGGCCATTAAATGTTAGGCCCCTTCTCTTGGGGCCTAAAAAGCTGGGTTTGTCAGAAAATCATGCATGCAAACAATTTTACTCTCTCGTACATAACATATATTGCTATTGCTATTATGTTTCTCCAGCCATTTTTCACCATTTTTTGCATTATTCACCTACAAATACTTTATCCATATTTTGGTAACTTGACAAAAAGTGGTTGCGTCTTTCTCCTTTGGACATACCCAAAAAAGACCACTAGCAAATTTAGGTTATATCTTGGAGTCTGCAAAGGATCAATTGTACTTGCACAAAACCTATATAGGTGTATCCCTAGGTTTTGGAATATTCCGGATGTAATGGTAAAGTCTGTTTTCCGATCCGTTTTCAGTTCCTCTTTAATATAGGGTTTAAGAGACTTGTTATTGTGATCTAGGGATGGAAAAAATGGAGTGTCTACTAAACAAAATGTACATTTTCCGACTAACATTAAACATAACATATTATTAGATTCTTCATTCTTGAATTTCTTTTATTTTTTGTTGTTCAAGGCCGCCCACCTTCAAAAATTACTCTGGCTCCGTCCGTGGAGAGAGAGCTCTTCGGATTAATCGTCTGCAAAAGATTGGCCGTCTTTAGTAGGGACTTCGGGTACTCCAATTTTACTATCTTCGTCTGCAAAAGTCATGACAACAATATGAATGAGAGAGACCGACATAAAAACAGAGAGAGAGAGGGACTGGGGAGTACTTACAGCTGCCGGGAGTGGTGTATAATTGCGGCGCAGACAGCACGGGTGAAACCATGATAATCCAAATCATGAACAAGCAGCATATGACAGAACAAGTGGCCGGAGAAGCTTTGGTTATCATTTTTAATGTCTTCTACTTGTGCTTTTGATCCCACTCTTCATGCATATATTTATACATACATTTCATGCACCCCGGCCTACCAAGACAAATGGAG